CTGGTAGAGTTCAGAGTGGCCACGAGTGACTGTATCATTGCTGCCCCATTCACAGAGGGAGGGGGACAGACACGGACTATCACCCACACTGTGGGGGGCACTACGGCTGGGAGGTGTTCTTGTAGGGAAAGTGTGGGGTAGGCAGATTCCCTGAGTTCTCCCCCCCCCCTTTTTTTTCTCATTTTGTTTTTGGTCATTTTAGGACTTGGCCAAGAGGAGAGAGGAATCTCTGAAGGAGAATATTGATGCATAAACGGGAAAATAAATGGGGAATCGTGGTCTCTGATTAATGTCTAAGCTGTTAAAAGAAGGAAGCAGGATGGTTTGCTGAACACTGCTAGCTAAGTCCTGAGGTGACCTCAGATATGAACAAATGGTTCCATAAAATAGCATAAGGTGGAAGGATGAGTGACTATGGACTGCAGGAGTTGTGCGTAGGGAAGCGAGCTGATCACGGTTACTGAAGCAGCAAGAGCTAGGCTGAGTATGTGGGAGAAGGCTGGGGGCTTGGGGCTACGGGCAGGGGTGACTCCCTGGGCATGATTCAGAGGTGTCTCTGGGGAATTGCCATTGGCTGAAGGGAACTGCCTAGGCTGCTTCCTCCCCAGGGACAGGCCCCTAATGACTGGCTGCCAAGGGGTGCGAAGGTTCAGCCCAGGTCATCCATGGGGGCATATCTTGGTACTCCCTGCCCAATGGAAAATACTGCAGCCACAGACTGAGAAGGGCATGGTGGTCAGGGGCTTGGACCCCCCAGGGAGGAGGGTCTGCTCACCCCCATCAGGTAAGTCACATGAAGCATCAGAGGTGTTAGCTCAGGGGGAGGGAATTAGAATGGGCAGGGGAGGAGAAGGATGGATGTCAGTTCTTAGTTGTGTTCTGAGATTGGCTGCAGTGGAGGGGACTGTCCCACTAATCCTTTTCTTATAAAATTTACCCAGGAAAATTGACCAATCAGAATCCAGAGGAAGTGGAATTAACAGCACAAGTGGGGACCGTGACGGACACCCAGGTTCCCCCTCCAGGACCAAGGCACTTATTCCCCCAGAGGTGGGGGGTGTTGGCTGTGAACTGCCCCCATCTCAAAGGAGCCCACTCACCCGAGGTCACGCCCCTTCCCAGGGGCTGCCTGTCTCAGTGACTGGTTGATGCGGGAGTACAAAGGCCTGGCCCCTTGCCTCAACTGAGACAACTCTGAAGGGCTACCTTACCTCCAGAGCTGCCTGTGGCATCAGCTGGGGCCACTGTCGCTCCCCAGCATTGCAGCATCTAGGCTTAACTTCTCCCTTTCCTGCAAGCGTTGTTCCCCAGAGCACTCAAGAAACCCCCTGTACACAGGTCTCCAGTCAGCTTCAGGGGAACCTCATCTAAGACACATTCCAAAGCAACTGTGTTTGCTACGGTGTTGTTTTCCCTAGTTCTCTTTTATTCATTGACGTTATCAATGTATACCTGTCATGAATGTCACTGAAGTAGAAACATCTGTTCTACATCTAGCCACTCATCCTGAAGTTTTGCATTTTCCTTGTAATGTCATAGTTTTCCCAGGCTAACTCCGCCTTTTCCCATGAAAGCTTCCATGAACTTCTCCAGAATTATGTGTAACCTCCCAAATAAGTAAATCTTGCCTTTATTTTCAAAATCTTAATTTCCCAACTACAAAGTTAATTACTCTATATGTGATTATAGATAGCTTAGAAAGTAAGATTTAAAACTATGCATAATTTGAGGGCTGGCCAGTTAGCCCACTTGGTTAGAGTGTGGTACTGATAACACCAAGCTCAAGAGTTCAGATCCCCTAATGGGCCAGCGACCCCCCCCCAAATTACCCATAATTCCCCTACTCAGAAATGATCACTTTTAATATTTCTGTGTTTCTTACCTTTTAAGAATTCTAGTTGAGACCACACTGTATTCTGCCTTTAACACCTGACATTGTAGCTTAAGCATTTGCCCATGTCATTGAAACCTCTTTCTAAAGATGATTTTAAAAGGTGGTATAATATTTCAAGGTTAAGGATGAGCCCTAATTCAGTAAACTATTTGTTTCTTACCTTTTAAGAATTCTAGTTGAGACCACACTGTATTCTGCCTTTAACACCTGACACTGTAGCTTAAGCATTTGCCCATGTCATTGAAACCTCTTTCTAAAGATGATTTTAAAAGGTAGTATAATATTTCAAGGTTAAGGATGAGCCCTAATTCAGTAAACTATTTCCTGATGTGAGGCATTTAAGTTAGCAACAGTGTTTTCAGTGAACCTGGGCAGGACCACCTACATAGGGTGATGAGGTCAAAGGGCAAAATGCTTTCACCCCCAGAATGTGGGCCCAGGTGACTTTATTGGTCCCACATGAGAAGCTATGTTTTCAGAAGCCTGTAAGTCTTTTGGGGGGGTATGATCTAGAGTCTTATGCATCCCTTAAAGCACCATTTCCCAAAAGGTAGCCCTGGGTCATGATTTTAGATGGCACACAGGTGAACATCATTGTAATTTTAAAATTTCAAGACTTGTGCAAATTACCCAGTACTTCACAAATGATATTGCTTCAGGCAAGTAAATGCTTTTTTAAAAATGAATTGACAGCCACTAGGCAAATGAAAAAAGCCTCATCACTAATCACTAGGGAAATACAAATCCAAACCATAATGAGATAACGGACTTGTGCAAATTACCCAGTACTTCACAAATGATATTGCTTCAGGCAAGTAAATGCTTTTTAAAAAATGAATTGACAGCCACTAGGCAAATGAAAAAAGCCTCATCACTAATCACTAGGGAAATACAAATCCAAACCGTAATGAGATAACACTTCACACGCATTAGGATGGCTGATATCAAAAAAACAGAAAACAAGTGTTGGTGAAGATGTGGAGAAATTGGAACCCTTGTGCATTGCTGGTGGGAACGTAAAATAGTGAAGCAGCTGTGGAAAATAGTGTGGTGGTTCCTCACAAAATTAAAACAGTATTACTGTATGACCCAGCAATTCCATCTCAGAGTATATACACAAAAGAATTGAAAGCAGAAAGTCAAATAGATATTTGTACATCAATGTTCATAGCAGCATGATTCACAATAGTCAAAAGCCAGAAACAACCCAAATGTCCATCAATGGATGAATAAATAAAATGTAGTATACACATTCAGTGGAAGACACTCATCCTTAAAAAAGAATGAAGTCTAACACATGCTACAACACAGACGAACACTGGAGACATTGTGCTGAGTGAAATAAACCAGACACAAAGGGACAAATATTGTATGACTCCACTTATTTATGGTATCTGGAATAGTCAAAGTCAGAAACAGAAGGTAGAAGAGTGGTTACCATGAGCTGAGGGGAAGATGGATAGTGTTTAAGGGGTACAGGGTTTCAGTTAGGGATGATAAAGTTGTGGAAATACATAGTGAGGGTAGTTGCACAACGATGTGAATGTACTTAATGCTATTGAACTGTACACTTAAAAATGATTAAAATGGTAAATTTTATATGTATATTTTACCACAAAAAAATGAGGTGTTATAAAGAAAAAAATTAAGTACAGATGATGTGGCCCAAATTACTCAGGTTGTGTGGGAATGCCCAAGTTTGGAAAACACTGTCCCAGCCTCCCCCAGTGTGGCTATGGATTATTTCCATGCAAATGAGAAGCCTTCTTTCAATACTCTTAAATTGGCAGGAAGAGAAGAAAATGTGACATTCGTTGAGAACCTCTTTTGTACAAGTGCTTTATCTATTTTATTTCACTGAGTTCTAACAACACTGTGATGAAGGCATTAATCCAGATTCAGATTGGGAAACCGGGTCTGTCAGCAAGTGGCCAGACCAGCACTCAACACTGTCCCGTCCACCTCCATGTTTGTGCTTTTTCTGCTGTGTACCTTACTGCTTCCTGCCTGTTCCATCTCAATTTCTTTCCAGTGGGCACTGCAAAAAATTCCACACACTTGGAATTTTGCATATGCAGGGAATTTATTTGAAAAACACAAATTGTAGATCAGGCATCAAGCAGTACCTAAGCAATGGAAGCAAATTTGTCCCTCAGAGCAGAGCACACCTCCAAGGCCACAAACCAAACTGGGCATCTGCCTGGAGCTGGTGGCTCTTCTGGTTTCCTCAGTTACAAGCCAGATGTAGCTGTCAGATTCCGTATGAAAACAGATAAAACACGTCTTCACCATGGAAAATTTGGAATATACACAAGTGCGAGAGGAAAAAGCCACCACCACAAAGTATCAGTTATTTCACCGCCTATGAATAACCATGGTGCACGTTTTGGTCAATGTATTGCCCATTTTTACTGTGTGTACACATACTTGTACACAATGTATTTTAAAAACAAGCTTTACAATATGTACTTTTATCACCTGGTTTTCAACCAAATATATTGTGAACATTTTCTCTTCTACAACAGTTAAAGTAATCGCATAGTTGGAAAAAAGAATGTATTAAGCAATCTCGTTGGGGAAATTTAGATTTTTTTTTTCTAAGGAGACTTCATTTTTTTTTACAATGCCTTGAGACAGAAGGGGAGTCCTTATCTTGTATAGCTTTTTATAGATATGGAAATTTGCTCTTCAATTTAGCTTGCTTCTCTACACTCACCTAATCATCAATCAAGTATCTCTTTTTGTCTCCCTGGTACATACACAGACTTCCATTACTTCAGAATTCCTGTCTCCCCTCCTCCACTTCCTTCTCTTAAACAGGCTCTCTTCCCCTTTAAAAATACTGTCTTAATTGATTTTGAATAACTATTCAAAATTTTAACCTCAGTTCCATGTTAAAATTAGCCTTTAATAATCTGAAGGCAGATTTCAATTGTTTAAAATATTAATAAGAAGCCTTCGGTAGAGTTACATGTATCAAGAAGTACGGTTGAGAAAAATGTAGAAATGACTAATATTTTGCGGAAAAAAAAGTAGTTTTTTTAGGGGGTGGGGCAGAAGGAAAAAATAGCTGGTAATTTAAAGAATTGCTAAGGATCATTAATGGAAATGTATTCATTATTTTAAGGCAACTAAGAAATAATCATCTTTCACTTAGCACATTGGAGTGGCAGCCTTTCCTGGGTATGGAATTTGCGTGACATCTAAAATTGTATTTCCGGAAAAAGGCAAATGACGATTAACAGTAACTTTGTATAGAAAGGCAGATGCCAGCGAGCATAAGAGGGGTGCATGCAGCCGGTGGTGATGCTGGTGTCCTGGAAGCTGTGAGGTGCTCATCCATTACATGGCCATCTGGAAGGTAGGGGCACTTGGTCATTAAAGGAAATTCCTCTGGCAGTTTATCCTGCTGCCCACACACATGGCCTATCCACACGAGCCAAAGATCATCCGGGGCCCAACATTTGATGAGGACAGCGTGCTTATGGGATCGACAGTACCAATGACATGAAATTCAGACTCTCTTGAAAGAAGTCTTCTAACGTAAGTTGCCACAGGCGTGTCAGCTTGCTCTACCCAGGGCACTCTCACACCTGGTAACCTACACTAGCTGTGAACAGACTCAATTGCAGGGATGGGCACAACTTGGTTAGGCTCTGATAATAAGGAGATGGCACGTTTTGGGCCTCAGGTTCCAGGAAGAAAATATGGTCCCCACCCATGCAATCATCCAACTTGCACTTACCAGACACTTATTCTGGGCCTGACACCTGGGATGCAAATGGCAACGACACAATCCCTGTCTAGGCCAGGGGTCCCATCCTGTACTCAGTGAAGCATTTGCTTTCATTCACTTTCTGGACTTGAACATTTTCAATTTCTAACATCTCCAAGGGGCAGAACTACGAGGGGCCTGTGAACGAGGGTGGTCCTAGAAACCTGGCTCAGGTAGGGGTGGGGAGAGCACCCTCCTCCTGTTCTCCTCTAGGTCCTGCCCTTCTTTTCACCGTTTCTCTCAAATCAGTAAAAATCAGTAAGGGGAAAGGGTTCTGAGACCAGTCACCACGGGGGACCATGCAGGGGCCTTTCAGGATCCAGCAAGAAGTCCCCAGAGGGTCACGCCTCTGGTGGAATTTGCTGTTGGGGTGGGTTCTGACCTACTCTCCCTCCCTGGAGACTGTTTGGATCTCCCTGCCCAAAGGAAAATGCCAGAGATCATCTCTTGGTGTTTAAGAGACCATTCAGGATCCAGCAAGAAGTCCCCAGAGGGTCACGCCTCTGGTGGAATTTGCTGTTGGGGTGCGTTCTGACCTACTCTCCCTCCCTGGAGACTGTTTGGATCTCCCTGCCCAAAGGAAAATGCCAGAGATCATCTCTTGGTGTTTAAGAGACCGACTCCTTTCATGTTTTTCCTCAGTAGAAGTTCACAGACTCTAAAAATGTCAGATAGACTTGAAATAACTCTCCACATGGAACAGCAAGGCTGGCCATGTCTCTGAGGGAGTTCATATCAAGGATGCCACGGTGACTATCTCATCTGGAGTCCTTGATGCTTTTACAAAGAGAACTGTGGCTTCCAGGCTCTGTCAAGCCATGAGGTAGGAGGAGAGACCCTGTAAACTAAGCACCCCCACAGGCAACTAAGTCACCAAAAGGGCAAAAGAAAGAGGGGGACATCTGCTTACCACAGCCAGGTAGAAATGTCTGAGGAAGGCAGCGGAACCGGCCGCGCCAGCATTTACACATGGAACACTTCTTGGGCAGCCAGGTGTCATGGGGCACAGACCCACAGTTCCTGAGAAGGAGCAGACGAGGCGACACCTGTGCATTTGGCATTCCACTTCTCTCCACCCCATCCCCGCCCCTTTCAATGGCTTACTCTTTGCGGACATCGTGCTCACAGTTCCGTCCATAGAAAGAGGGGGGGCAGGCACAAAAGGACCCCAGCATGCAGGTTCCCCCATTCAGACAGCAGGTTTTGTTTAGCTCCTTACCTGAAAGGTAAGAAGAGGTGGGTGAGAGGGGGGAGGTGGTGCAAAGCCTGAGGGCAGGTCCTGCAGGCAAAGGTTAACACAGTGCCAACGACTTAATTTCCCCAAAGCATTTGTAAATGTCTAAGAATTGTAAACCTCACAGAACAAGACTCTGCTTGTGAGTGTTCCTTTTGCTTCCCGTGCCTCTGAGCAGGGAGATTGTTTTCACGCACAGGCCGGCAGTGGTTCTGGAGTCCCCGGCATGAAGTGGAATCAGCTGAGGGAAACTGTTCCAGGAGGTACAACAACCCACAAAGCCTGTCTCACCTCCAGAACCAAAACCAAAAACCAGTCCCACCACCCGCCCAGTTGAATCAGGTGCCCACCGCTACAGGTGAAAGTGTTAAAAAGGACCAGCACAGAGATGACCTAAGGCGGGGAGGTCTTACTGTCCTGTATTCCCATGGATGGCACAAACTGGGAAGACCGAGGATGAATTGCAGGCTCCTCATGGGACCGAATGCCATCATCTCTGGCGGCCAGGTCTTTCTCAGATGGACGTGCAAGTTCATGGTGGCCCAACCCTTAACAACAAAAATCAACTCATGGAACCTGTATTTCAGGCCACATAAAAATCGTCAGTGATTAAAAGAACAAAAAGTCTCTCACCAGCAACTAATCCCAGTTCAAATGCTCTGGAAATGGCCATGATCAAAATCACACTAGGAAGAGGAAATCAGACTTCTGTTAGCAAAACAAAGCAAATAAAACCCTATGAGTTAACACCTGGGCCCTCTTATCAAAAGGACAAGACCACAGACCTCTAAGGAGAAGTAGAGCATCGTCTTTCTTTTTGTTTTTCCTTTCTTTTCTTAATGGACGACTAATTGATCATAAAGAAAAATGTTGAAAATAAAAGTCACCAATATTCAACCCTTTTCAATACATATCATTATTTCTTAGGCATTCTCATATGCACATAATTTTAAGTAATATAAACGTTCTATCTTCTATTTCATGTAACATTTTTTTTCTCCTGCACATAGTTTTCATATAAGAATTTAAAAATGGCTGACTGACATTCCTTGTTATTGACGAATCACATTTTACAAACTCAAAAAAAAAAAAAAAAAAAAAAAAAAAAGGCAAATCAATTGCTCTGTCAAGTTGGTGATTACAGGTTGGAGGAACGGTGGAAAGTAATTGCTTTCATTAGGAAAACCTAAACCCCAGGTTTGGGTCTCCCAAGGCGTTTGATATTTATCTCTCGAAATTTGCTTCCATCTTTGTTTTCCCAGGAAAGGTGTGTTGAGCCCCGTGCTCCGCCCGGAGGATGCTCGGGGGCCCAGAAAGGTGTGCTGGGGTAAAGGCTTGGAGGCTCAGAGTCGCGGTGGAAGTTCACGGTCCGTAGGGGTCGTTAGGGGCTCCTGACGCGGTGCATCGTGGCAGTTCCAGGCGGACAGAATTGCAAGTGGAGGCTGGAAGGGGGCCGGGCCGGGCAGGCGTTATTCTGGAAACACGCAGTACGGCAACGGAGGTCGTTAAACACTTGCCACCGAGTTTCCCTTGGATTTTATCTGCCTCCCAGCGCCCCCAGTGCGGCCTCTCCGTCCCCCGCCCGCCTTCCCGACACCGGGAGTTAACCCCGATTCAGAAGCCACGTGCAGCCGTGAAAGCGTGTACTTGGCGGTTCCGCGGAGCCCCAGGCGCGTCCACGAGCGGCAGCCTTCCCACCTGACCTCTCAGTCCTCCGGGTCATTTGATTTGTTACTAAATAAGTCCAAAGTCACGCGTAGTTTTAAAATCTCACTTAATTATAATTTCTAAAGGAAACCTTGGCATTAACCTAATAATGCCAGGCACACAAATATGAAGCTTTTAAGTGTCCTGTTTTCACCCATGTCAGTTCACTGGATTCAGGTGGTGGCAGAACGGATTGGCAGCTTCTGAGGCCATCTGAGTTTCAGTGTCTCCCTGTGTGAACGCCTCGGGTCCTGAGGCGAAGTGCTGAGAAGAGCCGTTCTTTACTTCTACACCTGATCTTGGGAGAATTAAACTTAGAAATTTTTATTGGGGGAGTGGTCCCATTCGAGCTATGGTGGGAGGCAGCACCCTTTCCAACTCAACAGGCAGTTGGCTCAATTGCTTCAACTCTCCCTGTGTGGCCTTTGCAGCTTCACTGCCTCAAGAGGCCTGCTGAGATCCATAGGGGAACTTGGCCTGGAGCTCAGGGAGGCGGCAGGTGGGGGAGGGCTCAGCAGGCAGAAGGCTAACAGCTAGAGACAGAGCACATGTGTAGGGCACTTTGTGCATCACAGTCCTCAACAGCTGGACGTGCTAAGTAGACAAGTAGCGTGGACATAAGCAGCCTCAATTTATGGACGAGACAACTGATCCCATTTGGGACTTCAGTGTCTTTGCCTTGGAGGCTGGGCAGGTGTGTGGCAGGACTGGTAGCAGAACACACACCCCTGCATTACTACTTCCTTGTTTAGAGGAGCTGTTGTGGAACTTTTGGAGCTGAACTAGGACCCCTAGAAATCACCTCATTTTCAGAGGAAGGAAATGAGGCCCAAGTCTGGTGATGCTGGCGTGGCTGGGCTACGTTCAGCACAGAACCTGAAGATGCCAGCCTTTCTGCTGCAGAAAAGGCCTTCTCATCTGAGGACCAGAACCCACTGTAAAGATCTCCATTCTCCACAAGTACAGAGGGCAGAGGAAGCTGAGTGGATCCAGGGTAGACAGAGCCTGGGCAAGGACCTGGGATAGGGAGAGAAGAGGAAGGGAAAGGCTGTGCTTAAGAGTGGTGAGATATTTGCCACTGGGCTGGATGCAAGGGCGGTTCATTTAGCAGGTATTTAATGAGTCTACTACTAGGTCACCTATAGACTGGGGCTGGGCTCTGGGCAAGCAGTGGTGGGAAGTGACCCCACTGTGAAGTGTGGGAGAAAGAACAGTAATTAATGATTGTAATTGTTCTAACTGCAAAAAGTTGCTGCTGCCTCTAGATGGGGGAATTGAAGGGCTACCCTAGGATGGCCACCTGACACCTCTGTTTCTTCACTGCTGAAACTGACAGAGGCTGTCCAGCCCAGTGTGTCAGAGGATCAGGCCTAGGGTTGGGAAGTGCTGTGGAACGGGGGTACTCCAATCAAAGGCAGTCTGGACTCCCTCTTTTTGAAGGGCCCTGATAACTAAAAGTGAAAACAAATGCTCTTGGTCTTGGATGTTCCAGTATTGCCCTTGAGCTGTTGTATATTAAAAACTGGGGCAAGAGATAGATTGTATTTAAAAATCACGCAAAAAAGCGTTTGACTTAAAACCATCCAACCAACCAAGAATAGTGGAACCAAAAACATCATAATCAAAGGACAGACTTCCAGTGTCTGTCTAAAATTCAAGGAAGAAAAATTTGGAGAATGGGATCAATTCTAGCTTTAAAAAGCCAATTCAAACTTGTTTCAATTGTTGAGAATATATAGAATTAAATCCTAACTAAAGAGCAGCCATTTCTGCAGTACAATGACAAGGTTTCGAGGTAAGCCTACTTAAGGCTCCTAGGGAGACCTTGCGTCTTACCTCTGTCATTGTCCCCCAAACATTCAGGCAGGCCAGGAGACAGCGGAAGACAGTACTGGGAATTCTGTATACAGATGTACCCTCCTGCTGAGGAACGGTGGGGCTTCTAATCCCATCAAGCTCAGCTCCCACACCTTCTGATAATACCTGAGTAACACTTGAAGTCTGTTGTCCACCCAGTGTGCCCTGACCCACTCATTAGCAAGTCAATGGCTTTGTTTCCACTGGTGAACTCAACAAATAACAACTGGAAACCTCTGTATTTGCCACAGGTCTCTGTGTGGGATTTAAAAGGATGGATTTCTAAATTCAAAAATCTGCAATCTACTGAAAACACTGGCCAGCTGCCAAAAAACAAACAAAAATCTCCAATCTCAGCGGGGAAGATGTGCTCAAACAACTCATCTATATTGTTAATAGATGGTGCAAGAGGTACAGAGAAGGGCTTAGGAGAGGACTCCGTTTTTTCCTGTGTGTGTGTGGTGGTGGTGGTGGGGGCTACAATCATATTTCTTCTCATGTAGACGTATCCTAAGTTATTTCATTAGTGGACATGATGTATTTCTACATTTTCTGAGGAACTTCCTGCACATATATCTTAACATTTGAGTTAGTCTTTAGGTAGGTGAATGCTTAAGAGCATATCCATCTGGTAAATTTCTAGCATGGGAATTGCTTGGTTAAAGCATGGACATTTCCAAATTATTTTCCGAGACGGCTGCACCAGTCTCCTCTCCTCCCCCCCCCTCTCCCAACACCTTGTTGACAGCTCATCTCCCACATACTTACCAGCCCTGGCTGCAACAAGCATCTTCATTTTTGGCAATTCCATATGTGAAAAATAGTATTTTGTTGTGTAGATTTGCATTGTTTCCTGTGTTTGTTGGATGTTTGAATTGCATTTTCTTTTCTTTCTTTCTTTCTTTTTTTTGGTGGCTGGTTAGTACAGGGATCTGAGCCCTTGACCTTGGTGATACAGGGTGGCACTCTAACCAACTGAGCCAACCAGACAGCCCCTGTATTGCATTTTCTATGGCACTTGAACTGGCTTCTTTGAGACTCAGCCCAGATATCATTTGCTCTGAGAAGCCCTGGCTGAGTGCGTCTTCCCTGCCTCAGCTGTGCTGGGAGCCCCGTCCTGGAATCCGCTGCCCCGGAGTTTACCTTATTTGGTCAACACTGTGTTGTAAGCTGCTTGTTTTCTTGTCTTTCAGCAACTCTTCCCTTATCCCCCCGAGATGAAGAGGTCCAGAAACCTGGTCTTCCAGAAATCTCGGCTTCCCCAGCCTCTAGTGCAGTGCCTGCCTGTGCGGATTCCCTTTCGGCTTAATCTTATTCCACCAGCCACATCTGTGGCAGACAGAAACGTTAAGTCTTGGACCTGTTTTCTAAAATGGGGGTTGGGCAAGGGCAAGGTGTTTGAGAACCACTATGAGAAAACAACTTGTCTACCCAATCCTGGGCCTGGAAATACAACAAAGAATACCCCCTTCCCCCAGCAAAGAAGGAAGGTCCTAAGTGCTTCAAGCCATCACTGATATGCCAAATTCCAGGCAACTTATTCAAGAAAGCTCACCATATAGAAGACAAGATAATTTTGATGCACTTACTGATAACCATGTTAGTGTAGGGAAAGTCTGATTTAGACCTTTAGACATTATGTGATTTAGAATTCTTTGGCACAAAATCTTTATCTTTGCAATCAAAATCAACAAATATTTACTGACCAGCTAATCTGTGTTGAGCATGGTGGGATAGACAAGAGATTTCCAAGGTTGGGTTCTTGCTCCCCTCACCGAAGATAAGACAAGCCCAGTAATCTAAACCAAGTACCATTTTAGTATGATCAAAAAACTGCTATGGAGGAGGAGCAGTCACTTCCTGATTCCCCGCTGACCAGACTGAGGCCAATTGGGCCCCAGCAGACAGATCGATGAGCAGACAGATCCCTAGGAGTTACACTTGGGAAGGCAAGCAGGGGTCCTGCCTGGTTTTCACAAGACTTGGAGAATCTTCATTTAAAAGTGCTCCTCAAGTGGATTTTGTATTTGATTACATTCTTCACAACTCTCAATGGTTTTGAAATGGATTAAATGCAAGTGGAGGGAGGGAGATTGGGGTACAATGCCCAAAATGCTAACAGAAAT